GCAATTGAATTGTTCAAAGTAGGTCGCTAAATAAAATATTTAAATCAATTTTACGGTCTGCGCCTTATCACAATGAGCCCTCAAAATCCATTTCCTCGCACCGATAAAATTCACCGTCAACGAAACATTATAACTCTAATTGGTTGAGCAAAATATTAACAGCCTTTCAAAGGTATCTGACGTCAATGTTTGACGTAAGCCAGTATTAGTTAATAAGACAGAGCATTCGCATGTCTCATGCACACAGAGATATTCACAGTTGACCTGCATGAAGGATGTTTTGTTTTGTGAGCATTTAAATTATCGAAAATGAAAATAGCGGAGGCCTGAGGATATACAGGGTAATCTACTACTGACTCGTCTCAGTCTAAAGACGATTACGTTCTGTTGTTTGTGTAGAAAATTGTTTTCGTGGTGCTATGCTATCGCATCGCATCGCGAAGTAAAAACAGCCTTATTTGAATCACAAACAAATTACATTTCCAAGAATGTAAACTTTCACGGGCGGAGATAACTGTATGAAGGATATTTTCCGGGTTTTCTGGCCGTGGTCTGCAGGTTTTTATGCCTGACATTTCGTCTACTGCTGCGGTAGACATTTTCAAAGGCGATGTGTAAACGGTCGCAATACCCGAGCTGGTGCTATTAGTCTTGAGCGCTACTCCGGAGTGAAAACAAGTGTTATTTCTAACCTATATTTTTCAATCTATTTCGTACTGTTTTGGTAAAACAAGCTAAAATGCTGCTGATGTAATGCTGATTGGAACAGCAATAGAGCAATTCAATTTAACAAATACAACTACAGTTGTAGGTGAAGATGTGGACTCGTATTACTCACTTCTGGAAATCCAATCGATAAAAATATTTTTTTTTTAATTGAAAAAGCTCAACATCAATCGAAAATATTTTCATCGAAAAGTTTATCTTCTTTTGCGTAGAGTCAAAATCATGTACTAGTTTTATACGCAATAACTGGCTGTGATAAGACATCTGCATTATTCAGGAGGGGTTAAAAAACGGTTTTCAAAATGTTTGAGAAAGAAGATTCAGTTCAATGTGCTGACGTTTTAAAAAAGAGTAATTCCACTCCACAAGAAATTATCACCAACGGAATTCGCTCTCTTCTCTCTATGCATGAAACTTCTAAAAAAACTACGGGCTTAGATAAGTTTAGATATGCATGTTCCGTTTAAAAAAATTGAAATGAAACAAAGTGCGATTAGCTTGTCTTCCTCCAACCTCAGCGGCTGCTCATCAACATCTTTTACGGGTATATTAACCGAGATCAAGTGTAGCTTGGTTATCAGCTAGACCCAAAAGACTGGCAAACCAAGTAGGATTCTAACTTCACATTTATCTTGATGGAAAAACGGCATTTCGACATATATTCGAACAGTAGTTGACAGTAACAATAATTTATGACATTATCTTGATATAATTGAGAATATTTGACAAATAGTATTTCAACAAAGTTTCATGGCAACTTGATTACTCATAATAATTCTGTTTTATCGAATCAAATACATTTTTCCAACCGCATTAATATGACGCTCCAGCCGTTCAATAACGGCCTCAATGTTATTATTATAGCAGACATATTTTGATTCACAAAAAAAATACTGCTAGTGGAATGGCTTGAAGATGGAATTTATCGTTTTGTAAATTAATACCAAATAGCTCACTGGTGTCATTTTTTTGTTTTCCGCTTAAAGAAGGTCTACTAGTTTTTCCATTTAACCGAATTCATAGCATCAATAATAACACCCTGTATATATCTACGATAGTTCTAGACTGAACAATCACGTTATTTGTTGATTAACATATACATAATGAACTTTTGATAAAAAAAAACTAATTGAAGAGCATTTTCTTACACCATAATGATTAACATCTTGATAACCAATTACAATAAAATGCCGGTTTTTAAAGTGCTGTGAAGATCCATTTATTATGATAATCAGAATATTATCACGTTTATTTCTGAAAATAAACAACAGGATTCAGTTGAATCGCAGTCAAATATTTATTTGTTTATTTTGTATCCTCTTACAAGTAAAAAATACATATGCATTATTCATCCGTCAAAGAAAAATATTACCTGTTACATAAAGTGATTCATTTAAAATTGTGTCGAGAAATTATACGATGTGGCTTAAAAAACTAATCATTACGAGTGAACCGTTTTCAAAATTGTGGTTCAAAATATCGACTTCAGAATTTCCAGTAATTAATTTAGGTGTTATTTTGGTTATGAATGAATATAATTTAAATAAAAATAACTCGAAATGATCTTCAACATAGGGATTTGAAGGGGGCGTCCATAAATTACGTGGGGCGTTTAAGCGCGTATCCTACTGATGATGTCAGATGAAACGTTTAACCAATAAAGTGATTCATTTACAATTGTGTCGAGAAATTATACGATGTGGCTTAAAAAACTAATCATTACGAGTGAACCGTTTTTAAAATTGTGGTTCAAAATATGGACTTCAGAATTTCCAGTAATTAATTTAGGTGTTATTTTGGTTATGAATGTATATAATTTAAATAAAAATAACTCGAAATGATCTTCAACATAGGGATTTGAAGGGGGCGTCCATAAATTACGTGGGGCGTTTAAGCGCGTATCCTACTGTTGATGTCCAATGAAACGTTTAGTACTTCAGGTTTCATACCACCACGGCCTACCAGGTCGTATTTTATTCTTTTTACAGTAACCTCGCCATTAAATATTTCCCTTAGAGTAAGTTTCCAAGAACTCATAATTTCACGTTTTGGGTATATGATATATTCAATTTATTCTGTATCAGACGTGTAGGAAGTTCTGATATTTATTTGTTCATCAAGTATGAAAACTAACTGATCTGTTAAAAGAAAATTAGACGAAAGTGTTATCATTCATTTCATTAAAGAATACTTTTATCTTCATCGCTATCTATACCTTCACATGAATTATAAGACTATTGTCTGCAGTGTGTCTCAACTTTTTGAAGATAATCATTCAAACAGCCTTCATCTTTCTTCATATTCTACCCATCTTTCTTATTTTCTTCAATTTTTTTTTTATTTCTCTTCATAATGTATCTTTTTTCCCACGTATGTTTCCCTAAACGTTATTTCTTGATTCTCATCTTCTTTTTTACGCCTTTACGTTCATTTCAGCTCAGCTTTGTAGGGGTATTCAGTTTTTTTTACACTGACTGTTCGGAAGAAGTAATAATACTACCTGAAATCTGACTTGTTTACTTGTTGATCTTTTATTTGATCTGTGTAAGCTGACTCTGTTTCGTTTTTGACCTGAAATCTGACTTGTTTACTTGTTGATCTATTGTTTGATTTGTTAGCTCTGCTACAACTTCTATGGATTCACCTCAATGATCCGGTTTTTTGCGTTTCAGCAGACAAAAAGTCATTATACCAAATATATTTCAGTTTGGTTGCCAAATGCCCGTGTTCTCAAATCGTTTAATTGCGGGCTTCATTGTAGCTGCCCGTATAAAGGCATATTGAAATATTGAAAAATCAACCAGAAAGTTACAACTTTTCCAGAGTAGCTTTTATAGTTCATCTGCATGGTATAAGCTTGGAAGATTGAAGAAAGGTACATCAATAGCGGTGAAGAGTGGGGTAGTAGATATAAAAGTACCTAAGTCACCATAGTTCCGAACAAAGCAATGACTTCCAGGTTTTCCGTATGTGCTTTCAAGACTGGAAAATGAAGAAACTTATTGAGTTACAGCAAAAATAATTCGGTCATAATCTATCAGTCACCTCAGCTCATCCCCCACTCCCTGATTATTTAGCTTTTTAAAGGTTGAAGAGTTTTTCAAAACCATTGAGAACAAATCATCTTTTTTTGCTTCATAACATTTGTTTAGATAAGGTTTTCACATTTTTGTGTCCATTCTCTTCTGAAATCTTCGAGAAATCATAGAATGTCTGATGGCTCTTAGCTTAGCTCCCTCCCTATTCATTGCTGAAGAAAACTACTGCATAAAATACTGAAAGATGCATTATAAAATGACAAGAAGACAAGACGAGACAAGAAATTTTTTAACTGATTTTTGGAAAGCCCATTTACATTCAAGAACTAAACAAGTTTATATAGCTGAAATTGAAATATCTAGTTGAACTAATATTTTTAATAAACGTTCATTGTTATGGAGCAGATTGTTTGTCAGAATTGAGTAAATCGTTTTTTAAAGATGTCCAAAAAGGTACTGATCAGGGGTTATACTCGTATAATATATACTTTTATATGTAACGTGTATATAATTGCTCTCTCGGAGGTAAATTGCTGATTGGGGGATGTCAATATTAACAACCTATTTCATCTAATATTTTATCATACACCTAAAAAATCCAACTCCATAATACCTACATCAAAAGTAATCACATAGATATTAAAAATTTGAGAATGGTTCATTGCTAAAATCTCACAGAGGTGTAGACATTTATTTTTAAGTAAATAAATGTTCAACTGCATACATAGCAGGTATATGTTTCAATTCCATTGTGGATGTTTTGTGTACAATCTGACTAAGGAAAACTGGCCTTCATGTTCACAATCGAAAGGAATTATTTCAGGTGTTTTTTCAGTTTGCACTGGGTACTTACTACCTGCTTCTCTACCGCAACGGAAACTGAATTGTTTGCTTTATATATTGTGGTTCATTATTGGCATTACATCAAAATCATCTGTGTCAATATTTTGAACGATTTGTAAGAGAAATTTGACGGTAATAATATTCTTGTTGCACCTATTAGGTCGATGTCACACTGTACAATAATAAACAGTATTCCAAATATCCCATACATTTAATGACAATTTGGAAAGATAATATTGATGGCACTAATGATGGCATTAAATTGTAAATTATTGACTTATTTGACGATTCAAAAAGTAAAATAACTTAATTTTTTTTTTTTTCGTTAACAATGACAACTGCAGATGATTGCTCGGTAAAAATTAAACGACGAAAAATGACCTGCTCACCTCAGTTTTAGTAATCCTGTGCTTAGCTAGCTTCACCACGGCAAAATTGCCCTTACCGATAGTCCTTTCGATATCATAGAAACCGACCCGAATAGGATTCTTCGTTATCCTTTCGCGCTCGCCCATTTTTGAGATTTTATGACTAAAAGTGCTAGTGATTCAACTCAACGCACGCCGACATCTACGAACTATTCAACAATTTTATTGCTATATTCGATGTAAATATTGTCATTATTGTGCATGCGGACTGGAGCAGAACTTTTCTATACTACCAAAACGGAGGTACGAATACAACTGTCAGCTGTTCACTCGGCTCTCTATCCCATGGGTATCTTGCTCAGATCTAGTGCGCCGCTAATCGCGCTCCACTGCCAGCTTTGACGTAAATATCAACGCACGGAGGATTTTCCGTAATCCTCATAATATCGTGATATCCTCGGAGCATTTTCGGTTATCATTTGATTGATCGATGGTGATTGTGTAACGAAACAAGTCAGGTAAACACAGAAAAGTCGTTGGCGTTGATCCTAATAAATACAAGGTAAGCCAAATAGTGACCGGCGTCACTTGTCATCAAAACTGAATGTACATCCAAAATAACTGCACCAAAATTCAGTTACAAAATTTGACCCGAAGTAATAGTCATAAAAACATTGCAAGTTCTATTGTTATTTATTTAGTTTAATTGTTGGTCGATTGACTCTTTTATCTGTATCACCATCCAACTGAAGAACTACTTAAATAAAAAACAGGGTTGGACCCAGAATAAATGGAGGGCAACTGAACAAAATAGGCCATGATAACAGAGACCTCAGCTATAGGCGAAAAAACATGGCAGTTAGTCATGTTTCATATGAATGTGACTCACTATATCACAGAATCCAGGCGATTTAATGGACAACCCAACCCAGAAGGGTTTTGTACACAAATTAGTACAGAAAACATGATTATTAGAGTGATGTTATGAAAAAAAAATTGGAGAACAGAATATTTTTCAAATAAAAAAAGTTACTCAAGAAATATTTATTGAAGCAAATTTTGCACATAAACTTAATCAGCTTTCCAAATTCTAAAATGCATTCCAAATTCGAAATGTTTCACAATGAAACCACAAAGACATGAATTAGTTTCTCATGGTATGGTCACCCATTACATGTATTACATTTCCATTTTGTACGATGAGGCTCATCTCTGGTAGGTAATATGTCTCGAAAAGTCCTATATTTCTATGTATCGCCATGTGACCCACTTCACTATTAAGACAAAACACAAGCACTACAGGAAAATCTTTAAGGCGCTCTAAGAGCGGTGCTTGTACGAAAATAGTGATTCACATTGGATTTGAATCGCTGAAGATTAAATCCATTTGGAAAATCATTCTCAGGAAGTTTATTTCACACAAACGTGGTTCTCCAAATGAAAGAGTTCTTGAACAGTGAAGTTCGAGGTGTCCTGGGGTGAACCTCAAAACGATGAGCAGCCACAGTCCGTCGCGTATTCTGATATGTACCGCTCTTGGTGGAATCAAATGTGCCAAGTTGTGGAATTGGCCGCGGTGGTAGTGCGCCCGACTCACGATCGGAAGACCGTGGGTTCGATTCCTGCCTCGACCAGATATTTTTCTCGAGAGAATTTATCTGGTTGAAGCTGGGATGATTCTGCAACCGTGTTAGAAATCACACTTAAAAGGTAAGACCTCGTTAGTCCTTAGCTCGCACAAGTTCTCAACTTCTGAGAGTTGTCGTTCATATGGGGGCGACAGCTGATTAACGGAAAAACAGATTTTTTTTAACTTGAACACTTCCCGTGAATGTATCTATAGAAGACAGAAATCTCCAACCTTTCTTCAATGTTCCAGACTATCAAGGTTGCAAGTGATGTTCACGTCTCCAATCAGGCGGATGTCTCTTTTCTGGATGGAATCCAGCAGCTTCAAGGTATTCATAGCGGCGGAACTCTATACACGAGAACAATACTCCAAAGAAGGTCTGATCTGAGATTAATAAAGCATCAAAAGTTGCTGGGGTGTTTAAAGTTTTCTGGTTCGGAACAGTTTTCCGTTGATTACATCTACCGCACATTCGAAAATTATGAAAACATTCACTAAGGAAACATGAATAAAATGTCAAAAAATACGTGGCCACCATTATTTACTATTCCTGTCTACTTCACAGCCAGATTATATCATGTCTGCCTCATCAGGGGCGTCCATGGGTGAGAAGTAGGAAGGCAGATGCCCCTCCCTAGAAGAAGAGTCACACGTGCCGCTGCTGCTGTTGGGCAGAACAAAAAACATGTCAGTCCCGACCCCTATCAAATAAAACCAGACTTTTGTGACGGAGCGGGTAGAATGTAGTAGAAGTAGAAAGTTAAAAAAAACATAGCAAAACAGCGACGCAGCACTAAAAGAGACGAACCTAGCACCTACGAGAAAGGGCACTGCGGATGCTCCGGCACTCCATCTTCTTACAGCCCATTGCCGGCTCCACAAGACCTGTTTCTCTTCATTCAAAAAAGATCTCGCTTGCAACAGCATCAAACCGATACCACAACATACTCATATAAGTATACTGTGGACATACACAGTACCTAATCAAGCGGGAGTTACGGAAGTTTTCGATGGTTTCGTTCTTCAATTCAGTAGTCTTATGCCTGACTGAAAGCAACGTTATTCTGGGTATTCGAAAATAGAACTTTAATCTTGGTAAGTATCAATGATAATTTGTGTATAATATACAATTTTTGCTTTTTATTTTTTTGTCGATAGCGGCTGTAAATTTAATCTGTCCACGATGATTTTGAATACGTTGTCAACCCAATAAAAAAAATTGGTACCTTAATAAGCAAGATTGGCCATGGGCGTCAAATTTCAGGATGGGTCAAAAAAATGTATTTGTTTATATTTCTCAACCTAGAAAAACCAAGTTTGGCATTTTGTTTTTATGACATCAATAGCGACCTGCGTTGGATTTTAGGGTTAGGTCAAAAAAATTTTGTTTTATTTATTACAGGAACGACGAAAAGGAAAGAGTCATTAAGTGCTAATGACTAGTACCACTACACTTAATGGTGGCAGTGACGATGATAGCAATAAAGCAGGTCCAGCTGTGACTTCGGGTTCTTTGTTTCCACCCGAAACAGCGAAGCCGTGCTCATCCACCGAGGGAAATGAAAAAAAAATGAAGGTACAGATCCTTCGGCTACCGATAGCGATGAAAGCAACATTAATGACTCAGGTGATGGAATTGCGCAAAGAACTTTCTCTACCACCTAAAAATTACAACTTTGCTATTGATGCCACACATCTGAGAAGAAAATTTAACCACGAATGGTTGAGTATGTGTCACTCGTGGCTGCCTTACTCATATAGCAATGAAAGGCGCTTTTTGCAAGTTCTGTGTCATTTTTCCGCCCAGAGTTCCGTAAAAAACAAATCGTGAAGTGTAAAGAAATCCATGCACACAATCTGTAAATAATGTGTTAGAAACCAGTGGCATGATAATGCGAATAAATCGGTCAGAATATTTATGTCCTCGATATCGGCAGGCATCAAACTGAGAAATTTTCCAAACAAAACATTTGAGGAAAATAAAAAACAATATCTTCCATTATTCTCTGGTACTCAGTACTTACCGTTGTATGGAAAACACCATATTAAATGGATATTTGAAGACCTTTGCAATCTCTGAATTTATGCAGGATATAAGTCACAAGTCACAAAATCCTCTTCCTCGGTGCTATGGCAAATACATCATTCATTTGTATCGTATCCGAGTACGTGGAAAGTAATCCAACCCTTCACTTATCATGCAAGATAATGATTTGTCTAGATGTATATAAAGACATTAGCATAGCTTGTAAGTTGTAGTTTTTGTCATCTCCTGATGATGCTAACTTGGTTAGCGAAACGCGCGTCGAGAGACATTATTTTTGTTCTGGTTAGGAAAAAATGTATTTCCTTCTAATTTTCATAGGGTTCACTATATATACTAGGAATTAAAACATTCATATAGCAGCAGAGACCTTCAAAATTCATATCTATCATCACTGATTTCGACAAATTTGGATTGAGGAATTCAATTTGATCTCCTCTAACATTTGAAAATGTTTTTTTTTCAATTTGCCGTAGTTCAGTTGTAAAACAACATAACAAACATACGAATATTACTGAAGAAAGTATCAATTATGTGACCGCTTCTTGTTGGATAAGTAGGTAACTCTCACCTTCGAGCCAATTATAGTTCATCAGATACATAATCACTATAAGTACCTCATATGCCAATTACAGATGAGCAAATTCATAACTTTGCTGGAGTGTTTCAATTATGTCAAATCGCAAGTAAGCCAAGCCTTGAAAATATATCTACTTCAAAACGTTTACTCTACATTTTGTTTTGAAATACTTTATGTGTCCAAAAGAAGGAAGGTCAGCGTGGAAAAGTTGGCAATTGGTGGTAAGAAATCATCATAAAAAATGAGAAATAAAACTTCCTGTGTGTTTATACTACTTGTATTTGTAACTAACGTTACTGAAGTTTCATTCTACCAGGGCATTTTCAAACGAATACAATAAATATAGCTTACTCTGTTCCAATGACCTTCAAAACTGCGATGTTAGGCGATACAAGTGATGATAGATGTATACTTTATATTTTATGGAATAACGGATAAATAAAATAACTGAAAAATAAAATCTATGTCTACCACAGTTTGAAAATATTCATTATGAGTAAAAAACTCATAAATATACTAATGACATTTTTGATAGTTTGTGGCTTACGAGAATTTAGCCTCTATCGTTACTTTTTGAATTGAGTCATGTATTATCTCATCTTATTTTTATGATTAGTATCTCTCTCTCTCTAAAGTTTCGCGAAATATCCAGTACCAAAGTGACAGGACGGCCGGTCCAATAGTTATTCTGTCTATGAATGACAGCGACAGTGAAATTTCAGTCATAGAAAACAGGAATCTAAATACAAAAATGATTAAAGAAATAACATGGACTATGTTACATAACTGAATAAAATTATAGAAAAGAAAAAAGATTTTTCTATCCTTTAAAAAAACAGATCCTATCATATAAATTTGTATGTGCCTTATGTCCTAAATTCTACCAATGATATGTGAAACCACTAATAAACCGCCACCACACAAAACTCAACGACAAAAGAGAACGGAAGAAAGTGACATCATCAATGAGTATATTATAGAAGAGGAGAATAAAAAAAAATATCAGACTGCGCAAGGCGGGACAAACTGCATCCTCTGATAAAAAAAAACCACAGTCAACACAAAACCCGAACAAAACAGTGAGAGAGAGAGAATAGAATATGACATCTATAGGTTTGTTCTGGTTCTACGAAATTCAGGTTCTAGGACGTCAGGATCATGCGCAGTTGATATAGAGCGTTCTGGTTTATTGAGGATAATTTCGGACTGATGAATCCTCTGTTCTGGTTTCGACTGCAAAATGATCCTAAACTGTTTTGAATCGTCCCGAATCGTACTTGCTCTCGGGGCTGAACTGTTGGAACTGTTCCCGTTGCTCATGCGCATTCGTGTGGAAATTTGTTTGGGCTGTTTGCTAGGATGTTTTTTTATTTATTTGATTTGAATAATTGATGATTGAGGGTAGATAACATTTGAACTGACTATAGGGATAAGCTACATAACAAAATGGACATGATTGATAGTATTTTCTTGTCTTCATCTCTTCATATATACGATAGATGACACAGTGGTCCCCTCAAAAGCGTTCTGGTTTAAACAAGTGTCCGAGACTATTTAGGACTGTTTGAGATTATTTGCTTGTACGCACCATGTCTTGCGCAGTTTCGAAACAGCTTCGGATGAACCAGAACATATATGACATCTCTGTGATTTCAATTTCTAACCTCATTTTTAGTTTTCTTGTAGTTGAGGCTTTAAATTTTAGACAATTTTAGGCAAAATTACTTTATACCTAATAGCTTACAGAAATTATCATAAATTTGGAGTAATGGACGGAGAAAACACTATAAATAAATCTGATTTTTTTCTTAGAGAGATTCCAGATGTGAAAATTAGGTACGATTTTTCAATATTGTGTAATAATTGAACTATATTGCTTTTCTTATTTTCCAGCCGTGATAACTACCCTTTAAAAAAAACTGTCGTAAAGGAAGAACTCCAATTTTTAAGGCTTAATGAGGGGATCCAAGAAAAAATAATGGAAACTCTGAAATACATTCATGGCCCTGTGAGGATTCTTCATTTTGAATATAGTGATTTCTATAATTTGTTCTCTTTTTCAGGAATTCAAACTTAAAGATGCATCAGCTTATGAAGAAGAAACATCAAATCTTTTAAAAAAATATTGGGTTGGTCAAGGAAGTTTGGTTGTTAAAGGAGGTTTTGATTTTTCCCAAAGTAAAGATGAGCCCACTGATGAATCGGACAGATTGAAACAGTTCGGACTCATGAGGCTAGAAAGGTTGGATATTGATAAGTGTTTGAAACCGATGGTGATATTTTGAATCCATATTCCACATCTCTTCAAGAGATAGAGAGGAAAACTTTATTTCGCAAAGAAACAGTAATTTCTTATTGAAAAAGTATAGTCATTTTAATATAAATACAGTGTCAATACGAAATGTATGGTTTGGCAAATTTTGAAACTTTATGTTGTCCAATTTGTAAAGAAAATAATGAATTCTATAAATATTGGATAATGAATGGGTGGTCAACTCAATGGAACTAGTTCAGTCCTAGAAAATTGTTAGGTCTCCATATAAATAATTCCCAAAACTGGAAAATGCAACAATACCAACGACTACTAGTTATGATGGATAACGCTGCAGCTGACATGTGAAAACATTTTAAAGTGACGTAAAATTCTTTGTGTGTGCAAAAGCAAGTGAACATATGTCTTTTTTGTGGTAAATGGAAGGTTTTTTTGGCATTTCAGCAAAATAGTTAGACATGCAAGTTACGCATTGTTGTAAAAATATTTTTTAACTATTGCTTTTCCATTTATCTAATTGTCACTCCAAATATATAAATATTTATTTCATGGATTTTCAAATTATACGAGAATATTTTTTATTTTACAGAGAAACTGCTCTGAGAAATAGCTATGTTACTTATAGACAGAAAAATTCAACGTTCTATGAATTTGACTATTAGATATGACTTTATCGAAAATCTAAACGAAATGTAACCTCTCATTGCTTTCATTTTAGTTATGGATTTCATAAAAATCACTGCATAGAAGCTTTCAACTACTGTAGAGGTGACATTGAAGATTGTCTTTATTTGTTATATCACAAGTATTTCAACTGGGATGGAACGCAAAAAGAAATAGATCATGGTTTATCAGAAAAAGAATTATTAGAACAGAGAGTAGATGAAAGAAGTTCCCTTGAATCAATCTACGAGAATTCATTCAAAGCCAAAACAAATAGTGTATGGATCCTGACCATGAAATTGGATTACCTCATAAGTATCTTTCACAAGATAGAAATAAAAAAACCTAAAGACAATAATCAACAAAAGAAAGAAAAATGTAGAAACTTGTTGAGAGGAAACTGTAAATTTGGCAATAAATGTAGGTTTTCTCATGAGATAGAAAAAGTTGAAGTCATTCCAAATGCTCATCTGAACAACTATTCATTTGATCTTGAGATTAGGTTTCCTCATAATACAAAATATCCTTACGAACCCCCTTTGATATTTCTGAAGACAAACGCTGTCCTTCCTCCCCTTTTAAATCTTCATATCTGCAAAAGATTGTATGAGGAAGCCAAATTATTAGCTGAGGATGGAATACCTTGTGTTTATACAATCACTGAATTACTTCAAAACGAAGAAGCAATTAAACAGCATCTGAAGGAAGATGTAGACTTTTTGAAACATAATCAAAAATTATTTGATAGGAGGGAACCAAAAAAAGAAAGAACTATCAGGCCCAGTCACTATGAGAAAGGAATAACAAACAGGTGAGATATTTTTTTACTCATTTTGAATCCTTTATGAATCCTAATAAAACGAGTTAATTCCTCTTAAGAGTTTTTAAAATAATGGAAACGTATGAACCCCAAAAAAGACTTACCAAAATATAAGTAATTTTTAGTAAACATATTGAGCTTATCCATGAATTATTGAAAATTATTTAACTATACTAACATTCCATAACACTAGGCAATACATTCTCAGAAATATTACATTGAAACAAAAACATTTTTGTTAGGTTGTCATTCTGTATATTGTGTCACTTTCTTTTTAAATCATACACAGGCAGCTAAATGCTTATAGAATAATGGACAATGTGTTTCATTCATTAAAGAAACTTCCTGCTAATTTGATGCCTACTTTTTTGGAATTATAGTATATATAGTGATTATTTTCATTTGACTTCAACTGTATCCATCAGAGTTCAATTTTTATAGTTCATATTATATGAATATTTCCAAAAAAATCTATAATATTCTCTTTGTTGAAAGCAAAAATTATTTCTTACAGATGAGACTTGGAATGGGAAAAGTTTATTCGAAATGATACCTAAAATTATTTCACTCATAATTATTTTGTACAAAATTTTGATATATGTTTCATTGGTCCCTTCAAAAACATTTATTTATCTGTTTACTTCATTTTTCATTAGGCAAGTCGAATCTGGTATTCTGCCTTCCAAAACAAAACTACTAAAATGATTAAAAGTAAAGTTTATAAAATGTATTTCATCAAATTCTGAGCATCTACTTTGAATTTTTATGCACCAAAGAAAACCTAAATAAGAAAAATAAAGAACGACAAATGGAGGTTTTGAGTATGAACCAATCAAATTCAATGCCCAGAGGTTCCAGTTCTATTTTTCAGTCTAAGTAAATCGAATTTTGCTATGACAAAATATAAATATTCTACAGGTCCAATAAAAAAGTTCAGAGCCTGGAAGAACTGAAAAAAGAAGACAAAAAAATCGTGGATGCTTTTCTTGCTAGGGTGAAAGAGGACAAATACAGATTGATGATGCAAGGACGAAAAAATTTACCCGCCTGGAATTTGAAAAAAGATATAATAAATACTATTAGCCGATCCCAAGTGAGTATTGAAGCGGTTTTATTTTAATTTTTGTTGAAATATTTTTGAACAGCAGCTTTTAAAATATGAAGTTCCTGTAACTGTAAATTAATAATGTGAAGTTATTATTCAATACATATTGAAGGGGTCTTGCATGCTTTGTTATGGTTAGCATTATGTACGTGTCAGTCACAGTACTGACATAATAAAGTCTTACAGCTCATTTTCACTCTACAGTTCACATGATAATTTTCTCATTGCAATGGGTAGATCTCTGGTCATGTACTGGTATACCAACCAAACAGTCGCTCTGTCACTGTTAAGCCTTGTTCCATGTTAATCCAAAGATTAACGAGGTCTTACCTTTCAACGTGCGATTTGTAACACTGTTCTTAGAGACAGTGCTTTAATTCCGGTGTGGAAAAAGAATTTTCATTAGATTTATTTCATGCCAGATTTTCCAATTTCACTTATATTTATATTATTCATTCAATATATTTTCAGGTTGTTGTTGTTAGTGGTGAAACAGGCTGTGGTAAGAGCACCCAAGTGCCTCAGTTCATCCTTGACGAGTGGATGACAAATTACAATGAAAATAATGACCATATAGAAATTGTTTGCACACAACCACGAAGGATATCAGCAATCGGTGTTGCAGAAAGAGTCGCTGACGAAAGAATTGATAGAATTGGCAATACGGTAGGGTATCAGATCAGATTAGAAAGTAAAATATCATCCAGCACTCGACTGACGTTTTGTACAACTGGAATATTACTTAGAAGACTTGAAGGAGAACCTACTTTACCGAACGTCACTCATATTGTTGTTGATGAAGTTCACGAACGAAGTGAAGAGAGGTACGTCAAAGATAAATATTTTTTCATTCACTTTGAGTTACATGAGTAACTTTTTTGTTAGTACAAGTTGAATAAACATATTCAACGTTATTGATCCACAATTTAAAAATGGAGATCATCACATATCTCAAAAATTTTCCCTTCTTCAAACTAAATGTATGTTTCTTGGAAAATAAATTTGTCAGTATATTTATGACTTATCAAACCTAATTCCTCATTACAAATGATGCAATAATGACAAATTTGAAAATTTCATCAACTTTCAGAAATCCATCACAAAAACTTTTTTTCTTCATTAATAAAATTGTATTTTGTTTTTTAGTGATTTTCTACTATTAATACTGAAAGAACTACTTCAAGTAAGACCTGACCTGAAAGTGATTCTCATGAGTGCTACTATGAACGCTTCGTTGTTCTCTGAATATTTTGGTGAAATCCCGATTATTAATATCCCGGGAAGAACATTTCCAGTCGATCAGTTTTTCCTTGAAGATATACTCGAGACAACGGGCTATGTATTAGAGGAAGGTTCGGATTACTGCAAGAAGTTCAAACAGGGTTCTGAGGACATTGACACGATGATGTCTTCTAGTGAAATCAATTATGCCAATGCCATGCCTAGAAATAATATTAGAGATGAGAATTTGGCCATATCTCAAGTTATGGCTAGATATGAGGGTAGGTATAAATATTGCATTGAATTGCTTCTATTATCTATGTTTAGCAGTGGGAAAACTATTTTATATATCGTAATATTCAGAAACAATTTTTTTCAATCTGAAATGTGGAAATTACAGTTTCAGACCCAGAGCTTACAGCTATTTGGCTCATTTCATTAAAAAAAATTAATATAAAAGTATCAGAATTCAAAATCCATTACACTAATTTTTTAAGCAATGGAAAGAAAAAGGTGACTGGATTCCATAAAACAAAAATAGATAATGGAAATATCGCAACGGATGTGGTCTTTTTATAAGATATCACACATAAAATCATGGTTGAAAACAAAATACATCACAGTAACTGTGGGAGGCCAGGATGGACCAATTCAGACTGGAAAACTCACCGAACTATACAAGATAGGACCGAACAGAAATTTTGGAACAAGTGGAGGAGCACATATTGAATATGTGCACGGACCACATGACACCGAAGTACACCTTTAGCACAAACTTCACGGACAAAATCAAGGGCCGTGAAGAGTGGAAGACCATTAGTTATCCCAAAAACATGTTTGGAAAAAACACCTGGTATACAGATGAATCGAAGACCAAACATGGCACGGGAGCTGGAATATACCCAGCGGATATAAATTTAAACTACAGCTATCCGCTAGGACTATGCACACCCGTCTTTCAGGCGGAAGTGTATGCTATCTTGCAGTGTGCAAGGCTTATTAAATTGAGACCTCAAAGAAATGAGCGGATCACTATTTTTACAGACAGCAAGAGCGCGCTAGGGGCTCTGACAAACCCGAAGGTGACATCAAAACTGGTCTGGGAATGCCATGAAGAACTGAATGAACTTGCAAACAGGAACAAATTAACTTTGTACTGGGTGCCAGGGCATTCAGGAATCACAGGTAATAATAAAGCTGATGAATGCGCTAGACGCAGATCATCAACTTCATATATAGGTCCTGAACCAGGACCATTGGTAAGAAACCAGATTAGGACATGTACCAATAAGAAGCACACAAAGTACTGTAAAAAGTACCTGGCAACAAACACAGTAGAACCTTCATTAGGGAACCGTCCGAGAAAAGAACCGAAGAACTACTTCAATATAGTAGGGATAATTACAGGATTACTAACCGGTCATGGTTCGCTTAGAGGACACCTGAATAAAATGGGGTTGTACAACGGAGACCTCAACTGCAGATTATGCAACGAAGGGATAGAAACAGCTCTCTTCAAATAATGGAAAGAAAAAGGTGAATAGATTCCAAAAAATAAAAATAGATAATGGAAATATCGCAACGAATGTGGTCTCTTTATAAGATATCACACATAAAATCATGGTTGAAAACAAAATACATCACAGTAACTGTACCAAATACTTCTTGAGAATTTGGAAATTTCAATTCTCAATAGTTTATTATTAATTTAACATTTATTACAATCATACTATCTTAACGCCTCAGAATGCACTTGCTAAGTGGTCATTGCTTGTTCGTAATTTTTTGGACAAAAACAACACCATTATCATGTCTCAGCTACTGTATCACTAGATTTGGCCCCCGTGACTTTTTTCTATTCCCAAGATTGAAGAGACTCGTGAAAAGACGACGATTTAGGAGATAAAAACCAAAGTGTTTTATATCTGAGAGGAACTACTTTGAAGGAGACAAAATAGAAATTGATGAATAAATAACTATTTTGTTAGAAAAATGAAAATTCGTCTTATTTTTGAACAGACACCATATGATAGGGAAATTCAAACTCAAAATATCTATAAAAAATATATAAACATGTCCAAAAATTGAAATGTCAAATTTTATATTTTTAAGCTTGTCTGGCAGCTTGTTATAAATTATTTCACCATTATGCAAGATGTAGCGTTTCCCAATTTCTGTTTTTGGTCTCTATGGATGTAATTTCTGAAATATTCTCATGTGATTATTATGTATGAAACGATTTTTGTGGAGGTAAAAATTGCCAATTCATAAAATGAATCCAAATTCAATAACCTAACAGATAACTATCAAATTAGATTATAAAAAACATTATAATTTTTATATTTTTCAGATTGTGGAAGGTAACAAATGCCCAAAAAAGGTCGATAAAAAACTGTTTTTTCCTCCACAAAAATGACTTTCGTTGAATATAAAAAACATTTTCCATGCTTTGATTATGAAGTTTTGATCTACATATATCACTCTACTCTAGATGTAAGAAAAGTAGAATGTTTTGAGAGCATTGATAGAAGATACGTGTTTAATAATTGAATAGAACTGGCAGATACTCGATGAAAATCCATATTAAAACTAATTAATACAGTTTATTGTATGATTTTCACTATAAAGGGTTTTACGAAAACCGTGACACGTGTTTTGCTATACATTAGATTTCTCAAGCGTAAACTTTATAGTGAAAATCAAACCATAAACTGTAATAATTAGTTTCGATACATGTTTACATGTTCTTAAGACGAAACCCAACTCATGTTCACTTCTGACTGCTCTAGATCAAATGTGGCGAGCAGAAGTTTTATTTTGTATTGAATACAACCCCAAAATCTTTGTCTTCATTACATTTTTGAGGACTAATACAAATATTGATACAATTGATGATTTAGGTTTCAGCACCAGAACCTGCAAGAATTTATTTATGATGGACGTTGAGAAGATAAATTATGAATTGATAGAGCATGTGCTGTGTTGGATAGTTTCTCGGGAGAATTCCTATCCAAAGACGGGTACTATCTTAGTATTTCTACCGGGAATTGCAGAAATCACAACATTGTACGATCAGTTGGCTGTTCATCCAGATTTTGGAACTAGATCTGGAAAATATGTACTGCTTCCCTTACATTCTTCTTTGACAAGTGAGGAGCAGGCAGCTATATTCAAGTAAGACCAGGTGGGCTGTTGGTTGTATTACAGAGTGAAAGGGAGAGAGTTATATGTTTGAAGTGTAAACACATACATTAGTTGATTGATTCTGAGTATATATTTAAATTTATTTAGGGTTCTTAGAGAAAGCTATATATGTTCACATTTTCTGTTACATAACATTACTTTACTTGTCTTTTTTATTTCTCAGCAGGAATATTTCAATAGATAGATGTCACGAGAATTTGAATGTTTGTAACTACAGTTCCTTATGTCAGTAACCAATGTTGTCCTCGGAATTACAATACATAGATGTTGTAATATTTGTAACTACAGTTCATAATGTCACTAGCCAATATTGTCCTTAGAATTATAATACATAGATGTTGCCCACTCTGTGAACAACATCTGCACGGTCCGTGGTCCTCTCGAATAATTAATATCAAGACTAAAGTCAAAATTTCAAGTTGAAGAAACAGAGGTTCTCTGTTTGAACTGTGATTAAGCGGAAGAGCAATTGAATGATGACTCGTCATGATCACTTAAATGAAATGAATAAAAAACACTTTTGTCTAAATACCACTATTATTATCATAGATTTTATTTATACGACTGGTTTCGGGTTCGACCCCATTATCGGTAGTATAAATAAAATCTACCAGTGGTATTTAGACAAAAGTGTTTTTTGTTCATTTCATTTAAGTGATCATGAATTACCGTAAAGTAAACAAGTCATCAGTCACACATACTCGTCTTAATGTAAATTGAACTTCGCCTTTTATCTTCATATAATAAATAAACTGTACCTGATTAATTCGCTTTAAATGTATTAGAAGATAATAAAGACATTATTATTATTATATATGTCACTACTCATTTTCGAGCAACAAAGATTATAATTTGAAGCTTCTTCTGAGCTTGTTCATCAATTAAGGACAAAACAATTCTATGAATGTACAATCCTCACAATTTCCAGAAAACCCAAACCTGGCCAAAGAAAAATCGTTTTATCGACCAATCTCGCTGAAACTTCCATCACTATCGACGACTGTGTCTTTGTAATTGACTCTGGCAAGATGAAAGAGAAGCACTTCGACCCGAACAGAAATATGGAGAGTCTGGAAACGGTCTGGGTGACCAGGGCTAATGCTCTCCAGAGAAAAGGACGTGCTGGAAGAGTTATGAGCGGAGTGTGTGTCCATCTGTATACGAATCATAGGTTCAAGCATCATTTCCTGCCACAACCTGTGCCGGAAATTAACAGGATTCCTTTGGAACAGTTGGTATTGAACATCAAGGTCCTGCCCAATTTCGATAATAGGGATGTGGCTGACGTGTTGGGTAAATACATTGCTTTTTTATACAAAAATTCTCTTTCATGTTCAGGAGATTTCAGTGAAATAAATGACAATATTTGATGAACTCATTGAATTTTGAAGAAATTTTATGAATACATTTTTTGCAATTTTCGTCTCTAATTTGATAATGAGGACAAAATTTAGAGAAGAGGCATAACAAACTATCAAGAAATTTTTCTTCAGACAAACCAAAGTTCATCACTTAAAATCCACTTGAATATACTTTTAGGCCACCGTAAGATTGTATATGATAGATAGATAGATAGATATGTTTATTCATCACTGAAGTTTTACAAGATACAGCATATAAACTTGTCTCCCTAAAACTTATCGGACTAGTCAGACATACAACAAATACAAATAGTATAAAAATAAAAGCATAAGCTACCCTATACCAATTTATATATACCATGAACAGAATGCTAAGAACTCGTCCATTGAATAAAAGGTATTTGAACATAAAACATCAAACAATTTTGATTTAATAATTTAAAGCTCTCAATTTCACCCATTAGTGTGACTGTGTGATTATAGCAAATAATTCCCTGATACATATATGAATTCTGTCCCAGTGATAAGCGAGAGAATGGCAAACTTATACAATTAGTGTTGCGTGTACTATAATTGTGGATCATAAAACCCCTCTCATGGCTGAAGTGCCGTTTTTTTACCTCAAGAGTTATTAAATATATATATATATAAGCATGAAAGAGTTAGAATTCTCAAACGAACAAAGATTTCTCTACAGCTCTCTCGAGGGTTGGCTCTCACCATACATCTTAAAATTCTTTTCTGTATTATAAACACCTTTTGAATATGAGCAGAATTGCCCCAAAACAATAAGACCATAACTCAGTGTGGACTGATTATGCAATATCTTTCATTTACTTCATATAATTGTACTTTTAATGTGACTAGTGTTGTGCTAAGATATATTAAGTTGTTTCAATAGTTTTGTCCATTTTTATGAGGCTACTTTGAACTGTAACATCTCCGTGAATACTCATTAAATTTATTCAAAATAAGTGTCATTTGAATCAGTACAATTTTGCCAATGCAACAGAAGTCAATTAATTCCTTCAGAATGAAAATCTGACAAAATGAATCAAATTAAATATTATTTCAGGGTCATTTATTGAACCACCTTCTGAAGAGAATATAGTAACTGCTATAAAGAGGCTTAAAAACGTTGGAGCCTTGGACAAAGAAGATAATCTGACTGCTCTGGGTCATCACTTAGCAGCATTGCCAGTTGACGTAAGAATAGGTAGGTGTATTATTCAGCAGTTTCGGTATTTTAAAGAAAAGATGGTATTTGAAAAAACATTTCTATAATAATCAAACTCAAAGCCGGTGGTCAACCCATTCGATATTCCTATAGAGTTTTCTGTCGATCCCATAGATGGCGGAGCAGGCATTACAGGAGAGAGTCCAACCTTCCTACCTACTTATGTGTTTTTCAGGAAAACTGATCTTGTATGGAGCCATATTTGGTTGTGTAGACGCCGCCCTTACAATGGCTGCATGTCTGAGCTCCAAATCCCCCTTTGTATCGCCTTTTGGAAAACGGGAAGAAGCCAATAAGAAAAAACAGTCTTTTGCTTCCGGATTCAGCGATCATATCACTACACTAGTGGCTTACAAGGTAATGAGAAAATAATTTGTTAATACTTTCAATTCACATTATTGAATATTATTAGAAAGGTTTATCTTTTCTAATGAACACTCAAAAAAATAATTGAATAAACATTTAGATTTTTAAGCTATGGAAAATGAAATAAAAGCTAAAGGTAAATCAGTAAAATCGTTTGTGTAGATACTCGACCAGTTGTCTTGTTTAAGTAAGACTTAAAGTGAGATTCATTGAATAAAGAAAGAAATAAATACATTTATTCATTTATGGACCAACTACATGGTATCGAACATGTCAACTTATACTTATAAATATGTAAACAAACAAACATGTAAATATACATTTAATACATATAAACATAGGACCATAAAATACAGATGTATATACATATATGTATAAATAAAAATGTGAAAACGTATAGATGTACAAGTGTAAAAATGTAAGATTAAAACATAAAAGAATAAGATTATTTACACACAGATATCCACAAAAACTCAATCAGCGAAATACTCTTGTAATGTATAATAAGATTTAGCCAATAAGAAATCTTTCAGTGATTTTTTTAATTCGATATTACAGGCCTTCATTAGATTAGGGAGTTTATTATATATTTTTACCCCAGCATAAGTTGGCGATTTTTCAAATGTGGATGTTCTGTGAGTCATTGTTATTAAATTTGAAGCATTTCTAGTGCAATATTGATGGTGGTAATTGTTTATTATTAGCTCATTTTCATGCTTTTTAATGTGTAAGCCACTTTTATAAATATAAATGCAGCAAACTGTCATAATCTTTTTACTCTTAAAAATTTCCCTGCAAGAATCACGTGGCTTAATGTTGAACATCATTCTAACAATTCGTTTTTGAGTAACAAATATCCTATTTATTTCTGTAGCATTTCCCCATAACGTGATGTGAAAAGATAGTGCAGAATATACTAATGCATAATAAACTTGGATAAGTATATTCTCATGAAGTTCATACCTCAATTGCAGAATTGCGAATTATGATTTGGATAGTTTTTTAGATAAACCTTCAATATGCTCAGACCATGAGAGTGATTTATCAATCATTACACCCAGAAACTTAGTGGAGTTGTGTGTCTGTAGGACTTTACTATCGATCAAATTGTTCTTATTGAAATATATAATTTTTGTTTTCTGTGCATTTAGCATCAGTTTATTGGAATGACAATATTTTGTCATTTCACTAATACAGAGTTCGACCGATAAAATCATATCCTCCATAGATGACTCAGCTATAGCAAATGTTGTGTCATCAGCAAAATTGATTAGATAAAAGCGCCTATCGATATTAATTGGGAGGTCATTGAGAAAAAGTAAGAAAAGCAATGGTCCCAGAATTGAACCTTGCGCTACTCCAACATCAACTGAATATCTTTCTGACTCAACACTATCTATTTCTACAAAGAATTGTCTATTTGATAGGAATGAAATGATCCAGTCAAGAATATTTCCTCTAATGCCAATATTATACAGTTTGGAAGCCATAAACACTTTATCAATACAGTCGAAAGCTTTAGACAAGTCAACGAAAATTTCTGCCACGTGCTTCCTATTGTCCATATTCCTAGATATGAAATCAACAAAAAGGGTAGTAGCAGATTCAGTTGACTTGCCCATGCTAAAAATCATAACTTAACTTTGATGTATGTAAGTATTGTGTATATATGTTATATCAACCAGTGTAAATTGAGTGAAAGAATTTCTAGTTAGAATTTCTGTATTACAAACGGTCGTTTTTCTTGGGAAAATACAAATGAAATGTGATGGAATTGGCCGACACTTAGTGTTACTTGATTAAGTTTAGAAGAAGTTTGAAGATATCTATCGTAAACGTTATTGCTGAAATGCTTTCTTGACGTTTAGGAAATAAGTGGAAAACAACCTCCTAGAAAAAATTCTCTTACCACAGCATTCTGGTATTATTTACAAATGATGTGAAGTGAACAAATTTTTAAACTCTTCTTGTTGAACTCCAAGGTATTCAGTATTTGTTTGGCAAAGCATTAAGCTATATCAACTATAATGGAGCATTCCTCTCCATTCCTGTATAGTGTTGACGAGATTATTTCTGTGCTCGACTGACAGACTAATAGTTCAAATGTTGTCACCATTGAACAAGAACTGATCAAACTGTTGAGTTTTGAAATGGATGTTCTAGTGTCTATTGTCAGATCTGCCATTTAACAAAAGATACTCGTACACATATTTGTATGATGTCCATTTATTTTCTAAAATAATAATAATAATAAATGTCATTTATTGGTGAATACCAAAGGGCCATCCACCGAAGTCCTTCAGCCAGTGTACAATTTTAAAATATTTGCAGTGATTTTTACATATGCTTACATAATGGATACTTAATATATACATACTAGATACATAATACATTAAATTTCTGACAAAAAAAAATTATAAATTATGAGAGTGATTTCATGTTTTCCCAAATAGTTTTTTCCGGGTATTTGAATTTGGATGGTTCTCCTTCGGCTCTTTCCCTACATAATGCCTGTAGGGTCTCCAAGTTTCATTTTTGGCATTATTTTTTCATTTATATGTTATTTCAGAAATTCCTAGACGTATACAAGAAAACCAGGGTTGGAGCAAGAAATTTCGCTTCCGAGAATTATCTCTCCTTCAAAACTCTCACCACCATCGGGGACATTAAGCATCAATTTCTAGAACTATTAGTCGACATTGGATTCGTTTCCGTGAATCTTGAACGGCGAAGAAAGCTGGGTTACGATAACGTATATGAAATTACAGGACCCGACGTAAGGAAATGTAGCTAGAAACCAAATGTTGTATAATTTAAAATTGTCATTTCAGTTCAATCGGAACGGAGAGAACATTCGACTTCTGACATCTGTTCTCTGTGCTGCCCTCTATCCCAATGTAGTGAAAATCTTAACACCATCCAAATCTTTTATAATGAGTGCGGCGGGGGCTGTGCCTAAAGAGAACGAAGCCAAAGATATGAAATTCACTACCGCACAGGAAAGGGTAAGTGACAACTTTGTCAGCGAAAAAACTTTTCATTATAGGTTAAAGATAGATTCTAATTATGATTGAACTGACCCAGTCCTTGATGATAATTAGTAACACTAGGCAACGGAAAAACAGATTTTAAAACAGATGATAATAATCACACTTCAATTTCTATATGCGTTTCGCTAACACAGTAGCTTCCTCGGTAGAAATGAATGAAAGATTCAATAAAAATCGTATACTTATTAGGTATCTTCAACTTAGTTAGTTTCTTTTGACGGGTTTATTCTATTTCGTGTTCATGCTTGTTCTTTTTTACAGCATCCACGTTAGTTTTTGCGCAAATTTTTCTGTTTGTAAATCATTATTTTGGGCTCAGTGTTGAAGCATTTTGTCAATTTCGTCAAAATAAAGCTGCTTTATGTATATACTGTTTCAGCTCGACTTACTTTTTATAATAAAATGAGTAATTTTTCCTTTAAAGTTCTTAATTTTCATGTCGTTGATATGAGAAATATGGTCACTCTTAGATGTAACATAGGGGAAGTACACTTGGAAAATGTAAAAATTGAAAATTTGGAGAAAAACAAATTCTTAGGGCTCTTCATTGATGAAAATCTAAAATTATATTCCCATGTCGACTACTTATGTAAAAGACTAGCAGCAGGATGTCATGCAGTGAGAGTTGTTGCAAGAGAGTTAGACACTACTATCACAAGATCAGTTTATTTTGCACAAATTGAGTCCTTTTTACGTTATGGAACTCGTTTCTGAGGAAATTGTGCACAATTTCGTTTCAATATGGTATTCTCTCTACAAAAAAGATCCATTAGATATTTATGCAAGGCTAGCTATAGGGATTCATGCCCCCCATTATTTGTGAAGCAAAAAATTCTGACCTTAGTATGTCTTTTTATTTTGGAAACAGTGTGTCTTATCCACAAAAAATATAAAAATCAATTTAATACCACTTCAACTTATAGTACACGTCAGTATTACTTCATTTCCCTTCCAACACCTACGATATCCCTTATCCCTTAAAATTCTATTATTTTCAATAGCAAGAAGTTATTTAATCACCTTTCCTTCAATTTAAGGCGAATATATAACGACAAGAAATTCAGAAAGAAAGTAAAAGAGTTCCTTGTTGGGAGGCCCTATTATAGTGTGGACGAATTCTACCAAGGTTCTATCGAGTAATTGGCATGTAGATTTGTGTAAACAAGTTATTGAAATGAACACGAAATGGCTATGAATATTCATTACGTAGCATTATATATTTACATTTACTTAATATTCATATATTCATGTACTTATATTTGTATCTGTTCAGCTGGGCTTAATATTGTTCTGTCTATATACTCTGCTCTTGTCTCTAAGCATCATTTTATAGTTTTTATTTGTTAATTGTCCCAAATACATGTTTTACTTTATTAGACTTTGCCAATAAGATGTTCAGATCTTGGGTAATAAAGCATATTTTGATTTGGTTTGATTCTGTTTTTATGTAACGAATAAATATTTTTGCTGTGTGTAGTGCATTTTCTGATGCTCATTAAATAATAACATATTTGTATACAAAAAACACTTTTTTTTGACATTCTAGGAAAAGCCCCTTAAGCTGGAGAATAACGAATGCAAGTTTTACCAATTTTCTCACTGCAAAGTAAATTCAATAAAGGGGAACAAACCAAACGCATTTGATCATTTAGAAATAATCCTAAGTTTTTAAATGTATTGATTTCTGAACATTCCAATAGGTTGAGTATTGAAACTTTGTCTTCCAAATGCAATACGTCATAAACGTGATTGAATTGGAATCCCTCTGTCAAAAGATGATTTGAAAATGTCTTTCCATTCAAAAAAATACTTTTATGTTCTTTCATTATTTTGGAGAAAGTTTTTCCGGTTTGGCCAATATAAATTTTGGGACAAGAACCACAAGTCAATTTATATACTCCCGATCTATTGGACACTGGAGTTTTATCATTATTGTTTTCAATGAATTTACTCAAAGTACTATTGCTTCTGTAAGATGTGCAATATTCTTTGTTTTTTAAAAAACGACCGATATTAGTAGGATCACAAAAGTAAGTCAGAGTGACATTATAAATATCATTCTTTAAAACTGGATAGACTTGGTTCAGAGCCTATTTTTGCAATTTTTCAGAATGAATTGATTCAATAACATCCACCTCTCAACTGTTGTTGACAGCAATTTGTTTGATGAAAATCAGTTCTCTTTGAAAATTGCTGTCTGAAAGTGAAACATTCAACAGTCTGTAAATCATACTATTGAATGCTGCTACTTTATTTTGATATGGATGTAAATATAAATTGTGTAAGATGGTTTGCGGACAAACGTGTGAACTTTCTAATGAAAAAATCACATTAAAGTGTTTTCTCAAATACGTTATAATGGATTTTCATCAATTATTGGTCAGTTATATCATATCTTCTAACATATTTGTTTTCAACGGGCCTGTAACTCGCAAGCAAGCCAACCGCCAAGTAATTCACTGTGGGGCTTTCTTGTGCGCCATGAGCAGTGAAAGTATTTAGTATTATTTTTCTGTTTCAGGTCTTCATGCATCCAAGTTCTATAAACTACACTGTCAGACACTTCCCAAGTCCCTACATGGTTTATCAAGAGAAAGTGCAAACTAGTAAGGTGTTTTTTAGGGACTGCACCATGGTTCCTGTGATACCGTTAGTTCTCTTCTCAGGATACGACCTTAATATATCAGTTCAAAATGGAAACACTTACGTGGTACTGGAAGATGGATGGATACTGTTTCAAGTGGAAGAACACAAGATTGCTGAACTCGTAAAGTTAATAAGACAGGAATTATTTGACCTCCTTGAGGAGAAAATAAAGGATCCTCTATTGAATTTGTTGCATCACGATAAGGGAGAAAAAATCATTTCAACTATTCTAGGTTTGATAAACTCCTGAGTGTTATACTGCCAAAGTTAGTTGTAAATAATACCTATTTATTTTTTTACAAACGTTGATATTTTTACAGAATGGATGTTAATTATAATGTGATTGGTTGTACAGAGAAATAATAATTAATTTTTAATAAACCGGAGATGGTTATAATGATTATCATCTTTGGCTTTGGCGTGGCAGTATTGTTACATTTTTGTAATTTATCTCAACGATTATGGAGTAGTATTTTGTTATCTCTGTTTTTATCAAATAAAAATATCTTTATTTTGAAGGCGATTTCCAACTTTTCATTCTTGTAGGCAAAATAAGGTCATATATGGATAAATGCATGTGCTGAAATACCAGGCAAGAAAGCATATTGAAAGAGAGAGAGAATATGCTTTATGGTCCAAGAAAGTACATTCTTATTGACAAAGCTTGTAAAATATGAATTAATATATCATATAATATCAAGTTAATAAAGACACTGTAAACTGGTTGAAGAATGGAAAGAACCGAAAACGTATGTAAATTTCCAGTGGAAACATATAATAAATATAAAAATAAGATGAATTTTTATTTTCTCAAAAAAATATTTATTCATAAATTTCTATTTTGTCACCTTTAAAGTAGTTAGCCTCAGATATACATCTGTGCCATCTTTTTTTCCAATCCTCAAAGTAGTTATGATATGCGATTTTTGGAATATCTCTGATCTCACTCTCTGCGATTCGGTATTTATCTCTTCAATTATTGCAAAACCCCACCCTTTCATGAGTATCTTCCATCTTGGAGACAGGAAAAAGTCGCGGGGGGGCAAATCTGGTGAATACGGTGGCTGAGGCATGATTAGTGAGCAGCAAAACACAAGCACTACAGGAAAATCCTTAAGGCGCTCTAAGAGCGGTGCCTGTGCGAAAGTACCGATTCACATTGGATTTAAATCGCTGGAGATTAAATTTAGTTAGAAAAACGTTTTCAGAGTTTATTCCACATAAACGCAGTTCTCCAAATGAATGAGTTCGGGGTGTACTGAGTTGAACCTCAAAACGATGAGCAGCCACAGTTCGTCGCGTAATTCTGTTATGTACTGCTCAGGGTGGCAAGTCATTTGAACCTCCCCTGTTGAATCATATATATATATATATATAAATGGATGTTTGTTGGTAAGTGATAAACTTCTACATCGCTCAACCGATTGTGATGAAACTTGACATGTATGAGTAATTTTTCATAGAGGTTTTTAGGCTATCAATTTTTCTGTAACTCGCCACCAGATGGCGCTGTAGAACAATTTTTTTAAATCACTCTTCTATTACCCTGCACACGCCTATGTTTTCTGATTCTGTCAAAACATTGGAATAGCAGTGATAAAGCAACATAGTTAAAAATATTTTCATTAAGGTAATTGAATAATGTTGTTTTGAAGGTATTACAATTTTTTATCCCGGCAAAGATTCTATTGAAACGGTTATAACATAGAATTCCTTGGTATTGTGGAGAATTCTGTCCCACACTAAGCCTAGAATATGGTAAGCGAATATCATTTTTATTCTGTGTTTGGTGTTGGTGAATTTCCTACTTTTCATGTAGGTATCTTGCTCTTTTTTAATATTCATAATTAGAAGATAAAGTGACGGTAAAGTTAGAATTGACAATGATTTAAAATAAGCTTTACAAGATACACTATTTCGAACTCCCATCATGCATCTGATGATTTTCTTCTGAGCAATGAATACTTTAGCTTTGTAGAGCATCAAAAGTTGCTGAGATGTGTACAGTTTTCTGGTTCTGACAGCGCATACGACAAATTTGCGACAGGTTAGTCAAATGTATTATGTTAGCAACGATAGTTGTTAAGAGCTCGTTTTAGAAAACGTTTCTCCTCATAACAATTTTCAATGTTAGCGAAAAGTTATTTGCTTGTCAGTTAAGCCTTGAGGAACGTTTTCGATGGCCCACCTTGCATTAACAGGAAATTGAACAACAGGTATCAACAAATGAAAATGAGTCAATGATACATTAGGTGGGAAATTTCTTTTGAATCTGCAACTACATATTTAATCCAAACTGAAAAATCAAGGTCATTGTCTCATTACGAATCTATTCAAAATACGACAAAAAATTTCCATAGTTTTCAAGGAATTCCATTCAACTTCAAATTACTACGTAGTCCAGTCATCTTAGTAAAAATTAGTTGGGTAAGTACCTCGTAATTTGATATACCCAGCTATAAACTCGTAGAAGCTTGTATTTTGACATCTTAAAAGTTGTCTCAAAACCTACATATGATAAGGTGTACGGCACTATTAAAATCCAAGGTCAAAGGTCCCATTTCTTAAAATATTTCGTTTCCTATGGGTTCTTCGCAATATGTATTCATCAACAATATTTTAGAGAAATGCATTTCTTACAAATTTTGTTTCAATTTTTTTACATGTTGAATTGTTTTCGAGGTAAATAACCGGTAGTCAGTCAATATTACTACCAAACAGGCCAGAGATGATTAGGCTGCACTCATTATTGAAACAGCAATTGACGAATGAAAACCTTAAAAACTGTGCTCATAATAGAAAATATTGATTTACTTGTCGTTGGATTAACTTGCAGCAGCATTTGAGGGGGAAAAATGTCCAGTGTCCGGTTCAAAGAATATTTGAGAATGGAATCGAAATCTTGTTGGCAGTCTATAATGCTTCAAAATCGGTGGGATAGTATCGCTCATCTGCGTTATGCACAATATGTCAAGTCTATAAAATTTATCAAACCTGTGCAGTTATCAAATATTTCACCAAGTGTAGCAGCTCAGTAATTTTTATTAAAATTTTCAATTTCCACAAACATAAATATATGGAATATTTTTTAATGAAATCATTATTTCTTTCTTTTTTTCATTCATTTAAGAAGTTATCAATATAAATTACATTAGAATTGAAATATAATTTAGGTATTTTCCTTAACAATTCTATAACTACATGGGCAGGTAAGTTTTATTAAATAAAGTGATACCTACTTCATTAAAACTAGATACATTAGTAAAATAATCATTGAATATAATGTAATAGTTGATAAGAAATGAAAATTATTAATAATTGTGTATTTATCAATAATTAATACACTTTATACGTCATATCGCGTGTTTTTGACCTGGGTTACCGGTTGATCTTAACCGATGCTTTGACTGCGCGCTCTCTTTCTCGAAAACGATTCAAAGCATGAAAACATTTTTGGAGCAAAAGTTTTGGGGAATTTATTCCTCTACAATATTGATTATTAATACCTATAGAAAACGAGATATGTGCAAAAATTTATTTTTGTGACCTTTGACTTTAGATTTCAATAGTCGCTTACATCCTCCCATATGGAGGTTTTGAGACAACTTTAAGGATGTCAAAATACAAATGTATTCGAGTTCTTAGCTGGGTATCTCAAATTTCGAGGCGAACTTACTAAGATGACTGGACTAATGAAACTCGATTTCAAAAGAAGTTCAGGTGGGGTTATGTATTATCACAGATGTGAATGTATGCCGCGTGGTAATTGGTCATTGCTAATCGCTAACAACTTTTCGCAAACAATAAATTCACATCATTCGATTTTGACCATCATTAGTGCTCAGTCAATCAAACAAACATCAAGTCACTGAGAATAGTGTAGCTTGATATTTGCATTGCTTGTCTAAGCGTTATTTGTGTACCCGTGTATTGTTTGAGCACCTGTCTCTTTTTAATTATGGGGACCCATTGGGTATTTTGTGTCTTGTTTGTTTTCATTAAGGTATGTATATTTATTATGCTAACAATTTTTGTGTTCTGAAGTTTTTGTTATTGTTATGTTTTGTTATTCATAGTTATAGTAGCTGATAGCCAAACACAAGTTATAAGAGAAAATGACCAAGAATGAAAAGGCGACGTTGTTAGAGTCAAAAATTTTCCGCCAGATAAATTACTCATGCGTACTCATACAATTTATGCTTTATGTAATCACAATTTGAATCATATGATCTACCTATTCAAGTAACATGGTAACCAGAGTACTCATCTAAAATTCAAAGAAATTTCAACTGAAGTGTAAATTTGATAAACTATAATTTCCACATTAGAAAACGGATTCAATAGATGGAAAAATTCACTTCTATTTAGGAATTCTGTACATTTTCAGAATTCTTGAATTTATTAATTTCCAAGCATTCCAGTATATGTATTGTGAAATCAACAAGAAACTGCGTTACAACAGAGGGCGTTTCAGATCGGATCGTTCCGCTGCGACTGTAGAATACAAAATAAATATAGTTCAAAAAACTAAAAAACACGCTTTTAAAGAACATCGAACTAAAAAGTTATTTTTTTTTAAATAAGCTTAAAACAATAACGAACGAAAAATACTAATTTTATTGTGAAAAAAGTGGCGCGCAGAGGAGGGTTACAAATAAAACAGCAGGCGCGCGTGTTAATGAAAAAAAAACTTTTTTCAAATTGAAAAATACATGTAAAGTGAGTTCGAATTATATCAATAAGGTTACGTACAGCGCCATTTGCCCGCGAATAGATCAAGCAATATTGTCGATAATTCTGTCAAATACAGATCCCGAGCTTGAGAGTACAAACAAACATACATACATACATACATACAGGTGAAGCTAATGAAAGCGTGTTAATCAATAAGGAACTCACGTTCCCTGGGGCGTCAGCACATATTCTTAGCCGAGGAATCATACCTCAATCATAGAATAGGAAACAATATTATGTGCCTCAACCAACAGTTGTAGCCGACTAGCCGTCGTGGTACAACACGGAGAATAGCTTGTACTGCTTCTCTTTTGAAGGCTGTATAATCTTCGTACAACCAAAATATTGAGTTTCAAACTCTTCTCTTCCAAATGTAACTCGTCATAATTGTGTTGAAACGAATGCCCCTCTGCCAAAATATGGTTTGCAAATGTTGAATTGATCTTCACATTCAAGAAACTACTCGGATATTACAAAAAAGAGAAATTAAACTATATGTGTTTTTACCACTTGTATTTGCGGTAACGTTAGTTAGATACGAATACAAGTTGTAAAAAACAGAGTTTTATTTCTCATTTTTCATGATGATCTTCTACCACGAAGTAACGGCTACATCCATCAATTTATTGTTCTCTGATTCTTTGGAAAAAGGTGCTTCCCGTTTGGCCAATATTGAAGTTTTGGTCAAAAACCATGCACAAGTCAATTCATATACTTCTGATCTATGACACTGAAGTTTTGTCTTTATTGTTTTCAGTAGATATGCTCAAATCATTATTTATTCTGTAAGCCACGTCCAAGTATTTCTGTTTTAGATAACAAGCGATGTTATTGGTGGATTCATCAATGTTCTATGACGCTTATTATTGTTTATTGAAGTGGGATAGACTTGGTAAATGACCTTTTTCTCTCTGATAATTTTCATTGAGCTGATATATATCGTACAAAACACTGATAACTACCCTGTTGATGTTTCAATACTTTACTGTCAGCATCGAACTGTACAATGACCGTCCTCTCACATTACACTTATACGCCTTATATGTATACTATGCGCATCCCAAAATACTGATAGGTACCATAACCAACTGTTGGGTCTTTGCACGCTGTGGAGTCGGTTCACCACATGCGGTCCACTCAGATGAAAATCGTTTTGATTCTGGTGTGAAATGATGGAGATATGTTTCATACATTCTCAGATATCGACACATAACTTCTGCTCAGAATCATCAAATCATTGTTGTTTTTGGTCGTATGTAAGTTCGCGCGGCACCCTCTCTGAACATAGCTTTCGCACACCCAAATATTCATGCACGATATGTCCAACACGTTCCTTTGACGTCTTTAGAGCCGCAGCTTTCTCGATCGACTTCACTTTCCGGCCATCCAAAATTGTTTTGTGGACTTTTGGCTTCAACAGTAATTATTTCGTCTAAAAGCAATGCTTTATTAACATACTATGAATTCCTTTCTATCCATTTTCTTTAAACCAACAAAAGATGCTTCACTTGAAATGTTCTATCCCACGAACTAATAGTCCGACATCTGTGGAATTTGTACACGTGTTTTTGAAGGTTAGGTTTAACTAATAGTTATTTATTATACAAAGGAAAAAACCGAGAGCTGAAATCTAATATGTTTCCCGTGTATAATACACAATTTTTTCTGTGACGAGAAAAACGACGATTTAATATAGAAAAAAAAAACATAGTATTACAATATGTTAAAGTCAGGAAATTATCGATGTGAAATTTGAATTTTTAAACAGGTAGGCTGTTGTACTTATAGCGTTGCTAGGAAACCAATCAATAGAAAATCAAATATCTGTCAATTTATGACATTAAAAATAAAATAAATACAACAATAAAAATTAATTGGCGCTCCGGGGCGACTTCATTGATTCCAGTGGCGCATTTGCTTTTTCAGCTGCAGGAAAACCCGGAAAAACCTGCAGCACCACATCATCTGAAGATCTTGATCCAAAACAAAATTCAATTCTGTGATTTGATTTAAAAATTGCGCACTTAGTGGTCAGTAGTTCTTTTGAAAAATGTCTAATTCCGAGTTTTCTGACTCCACCGGAACCGGAGTTAGTAGAAACAGCGAAAGTAGCGTCTCAAAAATTATTACCAGCTAAATTGCGGAAAATGTATGAAACCGCGTATTCAAGATTCATGGAATGGAAGATGAAAAAGACATGCAATTCTTTCTTGGAGACGGTGTTATTGGCTTATTTTTCGGAACTGGCAGAACAACAAAATCCATCAACAGTGTGGTGTTACAATCCAACAATAATGTAAACATTTCTACGCCCAAAAAAGCTGCGATATTTACGAGTACACATATTAGTGACTTTTCAAATAATGCTCTCGATGAAGTTTATTTAATGACTAAGGTTGTTGTTGTATTTGGGATTGCAGGAGCTTGTCGAATTTGTGAAATCAGCCAGGTAACATTAGATGATATTGAAGATTCGGGAACGTTATTAATTGTAAAACTCAAGCGAACAAAGAATGATTTAAACAGGAGATTTGTAGTTACTGAAGAATATATTGAATTTTACCGAATAACAGATACCACCACTTACACTTATCGACTGCCATCTTCCTCCAGTATCTACTCAGGAGAAGTATTTGCTATACTCAGCGCACTACAATACTGTCGTAGATCCGTTGGTGATCATGTAATTTTCACTGATTCTCTCGGTCCTGTCTTGGGCATCCAACAACTCTACCCGAAAAATGCTCTTCTTCTTGTCATTAAGACTGAACTGGGAAAGTTATTACAGGATGGTAAACACATTGAGATGGTTTGGATTCCTTCTCATATGGGAATAACGGGTAATGAAAGGGCCGATTCAGAAGCTCGAGAGGCAATTTAAAACCCCAACTGTCGAGAGATCCAACGAGTGCCCTATCAAGACGTTTATCTCCAAATCAAAGAGCTCATATGCGACAGATGGAGGCAAAGGTGGCAATCCCTATATAATAATAAACTCAGAGCCATTAATCCGAATCTAGTCACTTAAAATTACCGAGCTCTCACCCGCAGACAGCAAGTTTTACTTACACGCCTGAGAATTGGACATACGAAATTTAACCATCTACATCTCCTAAAACATGAAGAGCCTCGCATTTGTGATACCTGCAGTGTGACGATGAGTGTTGAACATTTCATCTCTGATTGCCCAGCTTTCAATGAAGAAAGACAATTTTCCGGATTACCAAGCGACCTCACCAATGCATTGGATGTTACGAACTTCACTTCCCTTTATAGTTTTTTGGAAAATGTTGGCATCTCTAACAAAATTTAATGTATCTACTGTAACCGCTAATAACCCTAGTGGTTGATGTGGTGTTTTTCCTTTTAAATGAAAAAAAAGAATGATTTGAACAGGAGATTTGTAGTTACTGAAGAATATATTAAATTTTACCGAATATACATTGCCCTTCGTCCAGCAGCAGCAAAGTACTCACGGGGAAAAAAGTAATTTAATAAAAAGTGACATTTTGTTACCTGTCATCAGATATAAAATGTCGAACTTTTTTTCCCGTCACAGAAAAAAAATCATATGGAGTTAATACTTGTAGCGCCATTGACATGTTCGGAAGTTTTGGCTTTGTTATAAATCAAATTAAAATTGGAATTAATTGAAGCTATAGGCAGTTTTGGAACAAATTGTAGTGGACGGTTAGCACAGCGAAATTTTCCACTACAACGGATAAGAGCCATTCAAGTAACCTGGGATTCGGTTAGTTTGAGAACTTAATGAAGACGACTTTGATCATCCCAAGCATTATTGCGAAATAATGATGAACGGTGTACTCAAAAAACACTTTATTGTGAGTAAAGACACGCCTGAAGAAACTATTGAATAGCGAAACACGCTTTGCGTTTGTGAAACTGTGTAGTTAAAATCTCACAATGAAGTGTTTCTTGGTAGCATGTTTCTTCCTAGAAATTCAACAGCTAATGTGTACCTGAATTCATTCCAAAATGCTATCGACCCAGTTCCCATTGATATCATAGAGAATGATCATGCATACATTGAAAAAGAAATAATTTCTCAACGATGATGCTTCTCCACATTACTAACAAAATGTTCATAATCATTTAAACGATCATTTTCGAAGTCGCAAGATCGTACGAAGGAGTGCATTAGGCCTCCTCGGTCAACCGAGATTTTTTTGTGGAGACACATAAAAAACGAGGTATGTCACACTTCAATTGGCTTCAACTGGCAATCATGAATGCATATTTACGAATATG